AGGGCCCCGCGGCGGCGGGGGGCGGGGGTGAGGGGCAGCTGCCTCCAGCACAGCCCCATGCCTGGGGTGCTGCGGGCATGGTCAGGGAGCTGAGTGAGCGGTGCCCATGGGGGATTTGAGCAGAGGCAGCTGGGTTTGGTTTTGGGCTGGGAAATGAAAGGGTAAAGGCAGTCTGGTGGAATAACACTCTTTTTTTTTTGCTTGTTTTCCCTGTTTTCTTCTTTCCTTTCGGGCTGGAGCTCCACAACCCCTGTGCTTCCCATCAAAGCCCAGGCTGGGATATGGGGACAGCCACATCCCAGGGACACCCCCCAGGGGTCCCAGCCCATAGAGATGGAGCTTGGTTCAAACCTTGGCTGGATACCAGCAGTCCCAAAGCCTGGCAGGATGGTGAGGCTGGGCCCGGCACCCCCCCCAGTGTGTCAGGGGCACAGTGCTGTGTGTCTGTCCTTCTGCCTGTCCCAGCTTCCATGGGCTGCCAATGCTGGTGCCCGGGTGCGGAGGACCCTGGGTGCTGTTCAGCGTGGCTGGGAAGGGAGGTATGGGATGGATAGAGGAGGAGGAGGAGGATGGAGAATAGGGATGATGATGATGGAGGACTGAGGGTGAAGAAGGATGAGGGATGAGGTTGGAGATGGAGGATGGATATACATATGAAGGATGGATACGGAGGATGCGGATGAGAATGATGATGGGGATGGAGGATGGGGAAGGAGCAGCTCTGAACATTTCCAAAAGCTCTAATCCAGGCAGCAGAAAGCACCTATGAGCTGAAAAGCTGTTTTGACCTCCCCAAGCCCCAGAGTGGTATGTGGAGTGCCAGCAGGGATCGGGATCCCAAAGCACATGGGTGAATGGCTTGGCAAAATGGAAAGAGAGGGATTTGCTCGGGAGTTTCCCCAGCAGCTTCAGCCCACGGGTTTGAGCCCTTTTGGGGGGCACTAAGGGGATTTGGGTTGTGGGGGCGAATGCCAGTGACTGCCCCTGGCCGCATCCTGCAGCCTGGGTTTGGTGCTGGGGTGAGGTGGCAGGGCTGGGCCGATGGATGCAGGTTGTGGTGGTGATGGCCACCCTGTGTCCCCAAGCTGTCCCTTGGTGCAGAGCATCATTGGGGGTCTCCTTTGGGGGCAGAGAAGGCACAGAGTCATCCTGGGGCACTGGGCACCCGGTGCTGTGTCCCCGTTGTGACCAGAGAGGTAGGACCAGCTCCTTTTTCCACTCAGGGCTTTGCTCTTTGTAGCTGGAGGGGGTTTGAGGGTGGGTTTCCTCCTCCTTTGTCTTCCTGCTCGTGCTGTGGCTGAGGCAGGGCCTCTGGAATCAGCTCTCCCTGTGGATATTGCTCACGGCTGAAGAGACACTGGGATGCAGTGTGGTGTCCATCCCCGGCTGCAGCGGGATAGCTCCAGCTGCATCCTTTTTATGGATACAGGGAGCATTTCCCAGTGGGATCCGAGTGCCTCCTGTGCCATGCAGGTACCCATTGATCTGCCAGTTGATCTCACATGCTCCTCCATCCACCTGCCCAGCTGTATATCCCACATGCTCTCAAGGCTTTGCAGCAATGAATTTACCCACTGCCAGGCTCAGGATAATATTACTTCCCGCTGGGGAAAAGCAAGCAGAGGCTGCTGTGGAAAGCATCCTTTCCTTCCTCCTCTCCTCCCCTGAGCCCTTCAGTGGATAGATGTTTCCCAGGGGGAGCTTCCCCCATTCCCTTCCTGGTTTTTGGCTTCATGCCCTGGTGAAAGAGGAAGAGGAGACCTTAAGCCATGTTATTCTGCAGCATCTCTCCTGTCTCTGGACCAGAGCAGCTCCTCTCTGTGGGGCGACACAGGGCTTGAAATGTGGGTGCTGCCCCATTGCTGCAGGCAATGGAGCACTGAGGGACACTCTGGTTACTCCAATGGGGCCGAGCATCCCCGGGATGCAGTGTCCCACCGGCACTGTGTCCCGCTGCCCGCTTCTCCGTGCCAATGTGGGAATAAAGGGCTGCTGGCTCCTCTGCACAGCAATCACAGGGAGAAAAGGGAAGAATAAAGGCTTGTAATTAAGCACTCAGCTGCTGTCCTCCCCGGGCAGGCTCGTCAGCAGATAGATGAGTGCGTGGGACAGGCAGTGGCAGTGGGGAAGCCGGGGATGTCCCTTGGGATGCCATGGGGCGGGAGATGCCTTCCCGCCCGGCTGGACTCGTGGGGAGGGAGCTGAGGCTTTTTCTCCTCTCAAACAGCAGAGAAACATCCTCAAAGCATCTCATGGCGATCTGCTCTGTCCCACCTGGCCGTGGGAAGCTCTGACCCTCCCGGTGTCCCTCTGGAATGGTGTAGCAGGAGTAACAAGCCCTCCCTGGGCTCAGAATGGTGCGGATCAGTCCATGGTCTGTCTGTCCCGCCTTCACAGCCATGCTCGGCTCTGGAATCCCTCTTTTCCCAGGCCAGCTTTCAGCCCCATCCTTGGGCAGCATGTCAGACATCCCGGGCATCTCAGGCAAGGCTTAGCTGCTTCCCACATAGGAAACAACATGCAGGCAACATGAATCCTTGGAAAAGCCTTTCCAGCAGGATCCCTGGGGTGGAAACACCTCAGAGAAGTGGCTGCTGGCAGAAGGTGTGTCTCTGAGCCCAAACCCAGGTTGGAGAGTTCTCTGCTTTCACCCTGTTTCTCTTTGTGTAGTACTTAGCAGGAGATGCAATTGTGGGAGCCCCTGGTAGAGCCCACCCCGGCTGCTGCTGGTCATTAAGGCAGCGCATCTCCATTGGGAGCATCCCATGCTGGGGATGAGAGGGACAGTGCTTTGTGCAGGGAAGCTGGGGCATTGCAGCGTGGGGAGGCTGAGGAATGAGTGCTTACATGCGTGGTGATGGCCTGAGGTTGCTGAGGCAGCATTGTCTGGTTGGTCCAGGGAATGTGGGAGCATCTCCTCCCGCAGGCTCAGAGCATCACCCAGAGCCTCAGTGCTGCTCAGAACAGTTGTCCTTTTCCGAGAGGTTATTTTGGGAGCCAAGTGAGGAGCAAGGAGGAGGCAGGGAGGCGTGAATGTGGAAAAGCAGGAGTCAGTGGGATGTCTCACCTCCCCTTGCAGCCAGCACTGGGTGCCAGAGGGTGCCAGGCCATTGCCAGAGGGCATCTGCAGGCACTTGGTGGCTGGGGCAGACATCAGGATGGACCACAACTGCATCCACAGTAACCAGTGCAGCTGGGGGATGCGAGGGGATATCTGATCTTTGGTTTCCATCCCCTTGCTGGATGGGGACAGTGCCTGGGGGTGTCTTCAGAGGGCTGTGAGGATGGATGCCTGCCCCTGCTCCACACCACACTGCCTGACAGTGGAGTCCATGGGGCTTGGAGGGACCCTGCCTGCCTGTCCTGCTGCTACCCGATGGCTCTGGGTGCTGCAGACCCACGCTCTGCCATGCTTCCCCTGGTATGAGGCTGGCACAGAGCATCCTTCTTCCCTTCCCATGGTGATGGGAATAGCCCCATTTTCTTTGCAGGTAGGGGGCAGGAAAGGCTCTTCAAGAAGACCCACATCTCTCCATTGCTGTCTCCATCATCCTGGTGTGCCCACACCTCTTTTGGGACAAACTTTGCCTTCTGGCCCTGGCAAGGTCCTCGTACCATCATGGGTTGAGAGGGAAACCGAGGCAGGGACTGACCCGTGGCTGTTTCTGTCCCTGCAGGCACTGCTGGTGACGAGGCCACCACACCAGCATGGCTCTCTACAACAACGGGGCCGACGTGCCTTCACCCCAGGAAGCTTCCAATGGCTTCTCACAGCCTGGAGCCTCGGGAACGTGGCACAAGGGTGAGGAGGAGGTGCGCCTGGTGGAGCCCAGCCTGGTGAAGAAGGCTCATCGGGAGATCCTGGACCATGAGCGCAAGCGGCGCGTGGAGCTCAAGTGCATGGAGCTGCAGGAGATGATGGAGGAGCAGGGGTGAGTGACGGGGGATTGGGGCTGGGCTGGAGGTGGACCCCATGGCTTGGGATTCATTCATGGCACCTTGTTCTCCCCCCTTTTCCTCTCTAAATCAATGCCTTGATATGGAGATGGCCCCAGTTCAAAGTGTAGAATCCTAGAATGACAGACTGGTTTGGGTTGGAAAGGACCTTAAGCTCATCCAGTTCCAACTCCCTGCCATGGGCAGGGACATCTCACACTAGACCATGTCACCCAAGGCTCCGTTAACAACAAGTAAATCCACTTCTGGGTGAATCAGACAGCTTTGGGGTGCGTTGGTGGGTTGGTTGTGAAGCTAAATGCCTCCAAGAGATGCAGACCTGGGAGTGCGTCCACACACAGGTTGGAGGCTCCCTCTGGCTCCTCCAGCTGGAAATCTGGGCTTCCAGCTCGTTGTCCTGGGAAAGCCAAGGCAGGAAGGAGGACCAAGCTGCTTGTGGTCCTGCAAGCCATCAGTGCCACCCAAACCCATACCCTGCGTGCTTGGGGTAGGAGATCTGTGTCTTGTGCTGAGGACATGAGGGAGAGCTGGGGTTCAGTGTCTGGTGAGGCTGTTCTGGTGCTTCAGTTTGTCCTGCCTTCCTTCTCTCCCCCTTCCTCTCCATGGGGAAGCAAAGGGCTGGCGGAAAACCCATAGGGCTGGAGTGCATCCCTGCCTCAGTAGGCAGAAGGGAATGGGGGCTGCCCCAGAGCTCCAGCACCAGCCCAACAGCCTGATCCCCCCCCGACAGCTCACTCAAACCTGATGGATGGAGGAAATTCTTCGGCACACACAGGCTGGTATCAGCTGGGGAGAAAGAAAATGGATTGAGGCAAAGCTTCGCCAAGGCTTTCATTAAGAGCACAAGCATGACCTAGAATTAAATTGTCTCACACAGGCTGGAATAATGATGGTGCCTAATTTGTCGTTATGGAAATAAATAAGGCTGACCTGGCACTTTGGGGAGCCTCCTGATGGGTTCCCGTGCCCTACTAGGGATCTTACTACTGGTAGTATCATCAGTGCGATGGATAATAGCAATGCTGCACCCGCTATTGTTGTTATTGCTATAATTGCCTTTGCTGTTATTAAGGCTATTAATAACAGTGATGACGATGATACGCTGAAATGATAATATAATTACACTAATAATCTTGGTCAACCTGCTTAATCCTCCTCCTGCTCTTCCCCTCCAGGCAGGGGCTCTCTGGGGGGGTTACATGGAAGCACTTTGCACCCCTGAGGTTTCTACCAGGGCTGGGAGCTGCATCCTGGCCATGGCCTCAGGGGAGTCACCGGCAAGGGATGAGCCGGTGTGACAGCAGAGCTTTAGCAGGGATTTAAGCACCCCCGTGTTTCCATACATGCGGATGGCTCCTCCTGCTCACTCCAGGCTCCCTGCGCCGCTATTCCCTGCCTGCAGGCTGGCTTCTTGTCCGGAATTCAAGTGTCAGCGATTTTTCTTCCTTTCCCAACCCCGTTTCATGTGTTAAATGCCAACACAAACCCCCTCCAACGGGGTTATAAGCAGCGCCGGGGGCTTGTAGGAGCAAAGGGGCTGGTGCTCCTGCCTCCAACCCAGCATGACTGGCTGCAGGGCGGTCCTCGCCTTGGCCTTGTCCCCTGCAGGTTTGCTAACAGCTGTGGTGGCCCATCTGTCACCTCCTGTTTGGCCTCGTGTCCCCTCTCCAAGAGCATTGGCTGCATTTGTAATGTGCTGCAGCAATGCTCATCTTCCCGGGCAGACATCTTCCTGCTGCTGCTGCTGCTGCGGCTGGCTCATGTCCATGGGATGGACAGGGATGGTGGCTCTTGTCACTTTGCCCATCTGGGTGCACTGCTGTTGATGGTACAGTGCAGGGCAGCATATAGGGGTGCTGCCCTGGTTTTCGGGTCCCCTTTGCATGTGCAGGCAGGGTGCAAGGTGAGGGGAAGCAGCCTCGGTGCCCTCCTGCACTCAGTCCTGCCTGGCTGGGGAATTAATGAGCCCTTCAGTGCAAATGAGCTTGTTAATATTAATTGCCCTGTCCTTGCTGTTACCTCCATGGGCACTGCCAGGGGGGTGCTGCCACATGCCTCTCTGCACCCATGGCACTGTGAGGGGCATCACTATCCCTCATGGGCTTTGTGAGGTGCCAGCATCGGGGGCCACAGGGCTTGGCCAGGCTGTGGCACCCACTTTTCTGCCCTCATCAGCAGTGATGCTGATGGGACATGATAGTGAGGATTGGCCATGAGCACTGCCTGTAGATGATGAGGACAGGCCACACAGAGCCTGACCGACCCCTTCCCTCCCAGGGGGTGCCATGGAGTCCCTCTCTCTTTACCCTGTCCACAGGGATGATGCTGAGTGCACCGTGGGTCCTGTTGGGATGCTGGTTAAGGGGGATGCTCGGGTGCCCTTGTGCCGCTGCGGGATGCGGCACAGCACTGCCCGCCCAGGACTGTCACTGCTCCCTCCTGGGGACACCTCGGGGATGGCTGGGTGCCGTGCTTTGCCGTGGCTGCTTTCAGATGCCAGGGACAAAGTGATTAGTGCCTGTCGTTAATAACCCTGCAGTGGCCTGAGTCAGCGGTTGGTGTTAGTGCAGAGCTGGCTCGGCTGCCAGGGACGAGCAAAGGAGGCTTGTGATGGGATGCAGGCACCAGCAGGGAGCTCTGGCATCACTGGAGCTGCTGGGGATGTGCCCCAAAGCCTGGGGCACTGGTGGAGAACGGAAACCTCATGGTCATCCTCTTCTTTTACCCCTTCCTGATGTCCCTTCCTCTGCCAAGCACTGCTGGGAGGAGAAGGCAGGAGAGGGGAGGGGGACATGGGTTAGTGGTGGGCTTGGCAGTGCTGGGGGAATGGTTGGACTTGATGATCTTAAAGGTCTTTTCCAACCTGGTTGATGCTATGATTCTATGGAGCGTGGTGGCAGGGGACCAAGCAGAGGGACCTGCTCTCCTCCAGGCCCTGATGACTGTCACCATGAGACCTCTCCTTCTGACCAGCCACATGTCGCTCCCAAAGGTATAGAGGTCCTGAGCAGGTCCCTGGGGAGCCCATGCTCTGACCACTGCAGCTCTGACCATGTCTTTGCCCATCCAGGTACTCCGAAGAGGAGATCCGGCAGAAAGTGGGGACCTTTCGGCAGATGCTGATGGAGAAGGAAGGCGTCCTCACCAGGGAGGACCAGCACGGGCGCCAAATGTAAGTGAGGCAGCTCCAAGCTGGCCAGTCGGTGTGTCCTTCCCATCCTGCATCCCAAAGAGGCACATCCCAGGTTGCCTCCAGGCATCGATGGGTGGATTGATACAGAGAGGGTATATATAGGGATGGTTGGATAGATTGATGGACATAGAGAGGGTATATAGGGATCGATGGATGGTTGGATGGATGGATGGATGGATGGATGGATAGATCCTTTCCAACCTTAACTATTCTATGAGTCTATAATTCTAGGATGGATGGATGGATGATAGGTTGGTTGGTTGATTGGTTGGTTGATTGGATGATTGATTGGATGGTTGGTTGATTTGATGTTTGGTTGGCTGGTCAGCTGGTTGGTTGGAGGCAGGTTTTGTCTCTCTGAGGCAGTATCCTACCTCTGGAGAGGTTAGAGATTGTCCTGCACTGGTCTTTTGGAGTACACAAGCTGTGTGGAGATCTCAGAGCAGCTTCCAGTATCTGAAGGGGGTCTGTAAGGACACTGGAGAGGGACTCTTCATTAGGGACTGCAGTGGTAGGACAAGAGGTAACGGGTTCAAGCTTAAACAAGGGAAGTTTAGGTTAGATATAAGGAAGAAGTTCTTTACAGTGAGGGTGGTGGAATGGGTTGACCAAGGAAGTTGTGAATGCTCCATCCCTGGCAGTGTTCAAGGCCAGGTTGGACAGAGCCTTGGATGACACTGTTTAGTGCAAGGTGTCCCTGCCCATGGCAGGGGGCTGAAACTAGATGCTTTTAAGGCCCTTTCCAACCCAACCCATTCTGTGATTCGATGATTCTCTGCTATACAGAGGCCAGCATTGCAATGCTCCTTTCCCAGATGATGAAACTGAAGTGCAGAAGGTCTCAGTGCTTGGCCCACCCCACCAGCCAGTGGCAGAGGCCAAGCTGCAGGGTTGCTGTGCCTCACCTCTGCCTGGTCCTGCCTCTTTGGGTGACTTCTCCTGCTCTCCCCGTGGCTGAAACCACAGCTTCTGCCTCCAGCCAGCCGAGGGCACCAGTTTCCAGGCCTTGCTCTTAACTCCATAGTGCGGAACAGTCCTCCTGTCTCTGGATGTGAGGCTGGAGTAACTCAGCTCAGCTGGCGATGGTTCACCGGGCTGGGTGCTGCTCTGTAACCCTAGAAATATTAGTGTTAGCAATAATAATCATTATTGATTATAATAATCATCATTAATAACAGTAATAATCATTGTTGATTATAATAATAATCATTAATAGCAGTAATAATTTCCATTGCAAGGGGCCCAGACTGGATAGGCTGGGCTTGAGCCTGCTTCTCACCTAGAGCCTGTGTCTCTGTCAGGCTGGTGTGACCCCAAGAAGCCTCATGGAAGGAGCTTCTCAAGAGGCTACTGCCCCATTCCTCTGTCTCTTAACTGCTCCTCACATCGCCTCTGGGTGCTGCTCTGCCCCGGGGGGCTCGAGGCTCAGGTTAGGTGTCCAAAGCAGCTCATCTCCCACTGGGGATGTGCCTCTCACTGCTCCTGGCCCATGCAGGGCTCTCCCCAGCCTCACGAGGGTCCTCCCTGTGCTCGATGGTGATTTATCTGCACGATGGTTAATGGCCCAGGCAGCGCGGCTGGCCCGGCACACACCATCCATCAGCCTGGAAACCAGGTCACTTGGGACAGGAATAGATGCTGCAGGTTCACTGAATATTAATGCTTCATTAGGGGCAGGAAATCAGGGCAAGGGGGGAGGCAGGGAAGCCATGGTGGAAGGGAAAGCCTTCCTCCCTCTGCTCCACCAGCACCCAGGCAGGAAGGGACATCCCTGGCCTGGGATGGGACACATCTGGATGGTGCTGGGACAGATGCATTCAGGGTCTTCCTCCAAGCAGGAAAAAAGCAAGGCATGGGGAAAACCAACCTGCCTGGGTCATGGAGCATCAAGCCTGAGGTGTTAACAAGTGGCCTTTGCCTGTGGGGGCATCAGTCATCACCAGGGCATCTTCCTGGCCAGGCTCATTAGGGCTGGTGCTGTAACGAGCACACAGGGAAGCCAAAGGTGGGTTAAGGTTATCCAGGCAGCCCTAGCTGTCACCTCTGTGGGCTTGCTTTTGTGAAAGGAAGGGTAATCATTAAAGATTAGCCCAAGGGCTATAAATAATAGTGCTGAGCTGGAAGGAGCAGCCTCAGAGCAAAGGATTGCTTGGGGGAGAGTGAAGCTGGAGGCGCTTGGAGGCTGGTAGGAGCTGAGTCCAAAAGATGTGGCTGTATCAAACAGCAGCAATCTGAGCTGCTGAAGTCCCTATCAAGGGCTGTCCTGAGTACAAAAGGTTGAAGAGGTTGGACAAGGGAGTTAAATAAACCTTAAATAAAGAGCCCCAACCCTTGTATTGGCTGGGAGTGTACGCAGCAAAGCATCTCATGTGCTGGTCCTGCTCCAGTGCCTCTGTGGATGTTGACAGCTCAGTCGTTGGCTGCTGGGACCATGACTCTGAACCAGCTGGTCCTGTTTCAAACAGCCCAGCATCATCTGCAACCTCCCCAGGGGAAACTGAGGCACCGAGCAGGGCTGTGACCACCTGAGTCCTTGGCTTGCTCCGTGCACTCTTCCAGCTCCCGTCTCTGTATGTGCACAGCCTGGTCCCCAAGGAATAGCTGCTTGATGGACAGGCTGGTGGGATTGCAAGCAAACACGAGCGGGGACGGATAATTGGGGCAGCACAAGCGTGTCTTGAGCCGCTGAGCACAGCTAATGGGTGAGATGCTGGCAGCAGGCTCAGGCGTGGAGCTCTGCCTGCTCGCAGAGCGGAGTCCAACTGGGAATTATCCCTGCTCCCTTCTCCCTTTTCTCCCACTTCCCATGGTTGGGTGAGTGGCTGAAAGGCTGTTCCTGCCCTCGGGGCACGGCCAAAGCAGGAGTCACTTGGAGAGGACCCAGAACACCACGGCCGAGGCAGAGAAGGGAGCCTGACACCCGCTTGAGCGATCATCTGTGGTCAGGAGGAGGATGATTCGCTTGTAGTTCTGATCTAAACCATTTTTAATTGGGTTCAAGAGCCCAGGGCCTGCCTTTGGCCAGGGATGCCAATGTGCTGCTCTCAGATCTGCTGTCTGGGGCTGGGAGCATCCCTGTACTCAGCCATAGACACTGGCCAGGCTGCCATGGGACCAGTGCCCCGGGGCTGCCCCTATCCACCAGCATTCCCTGCCATACACCTCCAGGCTGAGAAGGATAGAGGAGCCTGGATTGGTTTCCAAGGGCAAATCTCCCTTGGGAAGCAAGCGCCTGGGCTGGTGTGATGCCAGCACCCTCCAAGGCATCCGTTATGATTCCCTCCAGGGCACTTGGATGGCCACATCCTGGGTGAGATGTCCTACAGCCCCCCGGAACAGGAACAAACAAGATGGTTTGGTGGGGTTTGATGCTGCTCCTGGGGCTGATGGCAGAGGAGGACC